GACTTACATCAGATCCCTACTTACAAACGGGGTGAGGCAACCCTGCACTAGCTGCTTCCCCCCAGCAGACCAGGGAGACGCAAAGCTAGCACCCACCCTCAGCAGACCAGGGAGACGCGGAGCGGCTTTTCTCAGTAGACACCTCAGCTTGAGAATAAAAGACTGAGGGAAGTGAGGTGTGGAAGAATAAGACTGAGCTCTGGAGAAATGTTTGGCTAGAGTTTCCCCTACAATATGTACCAGTTCCGACTTACATACAAATTCAACTTAAGAACAAACCTACAGTCCCTATCTTGTACGTAACCCGGGGACTGCCTGTATGCAGATGTGGTCATCCCATATCAAAAAAGATATATTTGGAATAGGAAAAGGTTCAGAAAAGGGCAAAAAAAATGATTTGGGGGTATGAAACAGCTGCCCTATGAGGAGAGATTATTAAGACTGGGACTTTTCAGCTTGGAAAAAGATGACTGAGAGGGGCATATGATAGAAGTTTATAAAATCATGACCGAGTGAATAAGGACAATTATTCCTTCCTGTGGCACAAGGCTCAGGGATCACAGAATGAAGTTAATAGGCAGCAGATTTGCAAGCACATAAATAAGGAAGTATTTCTTCACCCAACACAGTCAACCTGTGGAACTATTTGCCAGAAGATGTTGTGAATGCCAAGATTATAACTGGGTTCAAAAAAGAGAAATTCATGGAGAACATCAATGGCTATTAGCCAGCCTGGGCAGGCGTGATATCCCTAGCTTCTGTCTGTCAGAAGCTGGGAATGAGCAACTAGGAATAGATCACTTGATGATTACCTCTTATGTTTATTGCCTCAGGGGAGGCACCTGGCATTTAGTTATCGACAGACAGGATACTGGTTTAGATGAACTTATGGTCTGACCTAGTATGGTCATTCTTCTGTTCTACAGTCTGCTAGTATCATTTTGAATTCTTACCCTGTCTGCCACATTCCTTGCAACCCTTATAGCTCAGTATTCAAACAAAACAAGAACTGAAAAGACCTTGATGTCATCGAGTCCAGTCCCCTGCTCATATGGCAGGACAAAATTTTTCAAGGAGGCACTTGGATTTGAACCAAGGACTACTTAATCTACTGTCAAAGGCTCTGCCACTGAGCTATATCCCCATACTGTTGCTTCAGCCCCTCTTGTTAACCAGAACTGGTAAGCCTCAGTTAATAAGGGTGAGGCTTACCTGTTTAACCATTCACATCCCTAATGCTGTCATACTGTTCAGCTCACCACTGCCTACCACAGGATGTTTTGGGAAGCATCTGTGGTGCCCCAAAGAGGCAGGCTCTGCATCTCATGATGCCGTTTTATACATCTCATCATTCCATGGGCATCATAGTACATTTTGTGCTGCTTTTCAGTAGCCCTTGTCACTTGCATGCCTGCCCTCGGTGTCAGGAAGCATGGACTCCGGATTGCTCTTCGGTATTGTCATGAACACGGTGCACCTGAACCTTCAGCATTTCATGAGCTGCAAATCTGATTCTTCTGCTAGCCTGTGCGCTGCAGTAGTACCCGCTGAAGTAATTTCCCAGTAACGTGGCAGTGTCTTGATGCAGCAGAAGAAAAGAGGCAGCCCTCCTCAGAGATCTTGGGAGAAGACTGCAGAGTACCTCCAGGAAGGGTTCCTGGCAATCTCTATGGAGGCTTCACAGGACTGCCTGGTGTCCATAAACAAACTGTTGTGCCGGGCCCTTTTTTGGTTAGCTGTACAGGGGAATGAGAAGCAGATAGCAACTCTTCCTGTACTGGTTACTTCAGGACCTTTTCTAGCCTGATTAAAAAAGCTTAAGTGTCCCTGGAGTCTTGGAGCAAACTGAGTAATTACCTAGCCGTTGCCTCCCCTGTATCAGGCTCTCTAGACCAGGGCAGCTGGGCATGACTAGTCTGCTCAAAGTCCGAAAGGGCTGCCCATGCCACTGGGTCTCTGACGCCTGCCCTCATCCTCATTTGCCTCCACTTGCTCATTCTCTGGATTTGCTCCAGTGGCCAGTGACTCAGCCCTCCCAAAGTATCCGCGGGGCTCTTTGCTGTGCAGGTGTGGACTGTGTAGACAATGGCATGCCCCTTCTTGTAGAAGCAGCATGTCTGTTGCTCAGTACCAGAGCGTGTATTGGCTTCCCTTGCCTGCTGGTACTCCTGCCTCAGCGCCTTGATGGGTTTTTTTATTATTATTTTTTTACACTGGGTATTGCTGTCAGAGACCTTGTTCTCCAGGCCCTGAACAATTTGACCGTCGAGATGGAATCTCCTGTGACTGAAGCAGGGCTGTGGCAACTCCTTTCCCTGCAGACCCAGGAACTCTGCCACCTCCAGTGTACTCCAGGCTACCCAGGGCCAGCTTCATCAGTGGGGCAGCTGCTGCTGTTAGCTCTCCATGCCAAGCAAACAGGAAGAACAGTTTCAAAACCTCCCAGGACTTTAAAAGGGGAGGGGCACATACCTGAGAACCTGGCTGCAGGACAGCAGAGTCCAAACCAGTGAATCCCAAGAGAGGGACAGCGACAAGGAGTCCTGTGGCACCTTATAGACTAACTGAAGTGTAGGAGCATAAGCTTTCGTGGGCAAAGACCCACTTCGTCAGATGCAAGAGAGGGACAGTTTCTCAAGTGACACCATAATAGGACTGATCATGTCAGCAGTTATTCACTGCACATCTGCTCTTGTGATCTGTGCCAGCAGTGCCCCTCTGCCATGTATATTGGCCAACCCAGAGAGTTTCTATGCAAAAGAATAAGTGGACACAAATCAGACACCAAGAATGATAACATACAGAAGCAGGGAGGAGAACTCTTCAACTCCAGTCTCCCTGGACGCTCAGGAACAGTTGTAAAGATGGCCTCTTTCAACAGGAAAACTTCAAAACCAGATTTCAAAGAGAAACGGCAGAACTACAATTCATTAGCAAACTTGCCACCGCTAATCTCGGTCTGGCTGGCTCCGTACACAAGCAGTTTTCCCTCTCTTGGGATTCACACTTCCTCCTCACTGCTGGGAATGGGCCACATCTGCTCTGACTGAATTGGCCTAGTTAGTACTGGTCTTCCACTTGAGAAGGTAATTCCCTTTCATGTGCTAGTACAGTGGTTCCCACCCTTTTTATGCCGTGAGCCAGCAAACCCATTCACAGACGTTTGGCAGACTGGTAACATTGTATTTGCATATTAATTGTGCAAATAATGAATATGAATAAAATGTTACCAGCTCACCTAGCCCTAGCCCAGTCCCTTGCTACCCAGTGCCTGACACCACCATGCCCTTTGACCCTTTAATCTCTGACCCCTGCAGCCCATGCCAACACCCTCTTGCCCCGTGATCCCACCGCACCCTCACCTATCACCCCTGCACTCCCTAGAGTGAGGCTGCCCTCTCTAGGGGACATGGCTACTACTGATGTGTGGGAAAGGGGAGTGACCCTCCTCCTTTGCACCCCCTCCCACCCCAAGCACGTCTCGTATCCCCATGGATGCAGTGTCTGGAGCCCCGACTGGTCACCGTTACTGAGGGGAAAGGAGGGTGGGAAGCACCTCCTGTTGCATGCCATTGGCAGCATGCACCTCCCTTCCTAGTGTGGGGGAGGGAGGGAGGCTCCTGCTGCTGCTACCTGAGCCTCCCCAGCTGCGGCTTGAGCTCTGGCTGCCACCATGGCCCGGCAACAGTCTGCGGCCCGGCAGTTGGGAACCGCTGTGCTAGTATATTTATCCCTGCCTGGGCAGTCTCTACTCCATATATTAACAAAGTGGGTCTTTGCCCATGATAGCTAATGCCCAGCTAAATCTGTTAGTCTGTAAGATACTGCAGGACTTCCTGTTTTTAAAGAAAGAATAGATACCTGCAAAGGAAGTGCATCTTCAGCTGCTACTTTCCTGGCTCTCAGTTCCTGTTTCAGTGCATAAACCTCATCATGTAGTTTCAGAAGGTACTTGCAAAACGCAGGCTGTATGTGGCAAGTTTTCATACTAGTCTTTAGATAGTGGTGCACACTGTGTGGTTTCTAGAACATTTCCTGGAATAAGCAGCTTGAGTTTTGGTGAGGTCACAGGGCAAGATGGTGCGAGTGGAGCTGGAGGCATTAAACCTGTAGAAACTAATCTCTCTGTAGAGAGTGAGATCCAGTCAATTTCCCCTAAAGTCTGCTTATTAAAATTTCCCTCTTTCTTAACAGGGAGATGAATTCATCCGAGCTAATGCCTGTAACAGATTGACTGTCATAGCTGAACAAATCCGGTATCTGCAGGAGCAGGCCCGGAAGGTAAGGAAGAATTTAACATAAGTGCTTATCTGTCAACCCTGCAGGTTAAACAGATTCCTAGTACCTGTCGGAATGGTACATGGTTTGTAGTTGTGTATCCATTTCATGGTACAGAGAGCAGGGAAAAACCAGACAGCAGAACAGTTGTACCTTCTGAAATGCATTCCATCTGTCCAAGAAATGTTTCTCTTTCCAGGAATAGTGAGAAGTGTGTGAAGGCCAGCTAGCTGATTAGCAGAGCACCCACAGCCAGCAGCATGTGTTTCTATTGGTGGTGCACATCTGCACATGCTTCAGTGCACTCCATGTATGCCATACATGGATGGAAAAAATGTATTCCACACATGGATGGAAAAAATTGAAGTAAACACTGTTTGTGACATAACCTCCCCTACCACAGAACTGTGCTCCAGTATGTAAGCTAACGACGTTGGTGTTACGGAGGAAGAAGCAACAAGGTTTGCATGCAGCCTGAATGTGTGGTGTGCGGGAGAGTGTAGTCACTCGCAGACTGTATTGTCAGGTGACAGAAAGGGCAGTAGTAAAGAGAGTTTGGGAAGCTCGGTTTTAGCTATATCAAGTTAATTTTGATTACAGAATCCTAAATCTTCCCCTGGATATTTTGCAGAGTGGAGAACTAGACCTGTCCTCATAGAATCAGAGAGCTAGAAGAGACCTCAGAAGGTCATCAAGTCCAGCCCCCTGCCCAAGGCAGGACAAATCCCAACTAAATCAACCCGGCCAAGGCTTTGTCAAGCTGAGAGTTAAAAACCTCTAGGGATGGAGATTCCACCACCTCCCTAGGGAACCCATCCCAGTGCTTCCCCACCCTCCTAGGGAAAGCGTTTTTCCTAATCTCCAACCTAGACCACTCCCACTGTAACTTGAGACCATTGCTCCTTGTTCTGCCATCTGTCACTACTATGAACAGCCTCTCTCCATCCTCTTTGGAACCTCCCTTCAGGAAGTTGAAGGCTGCTCTCAAATCCCCCCTCACTCTTCTCTTCTGCAAACTAAATAAACCCAAATCCCTCAGCCTCTCCTCATAGGTCATATGCTCCAGCCCTTCATCATTTTGGTCGCCCTCCGCTGGATCCTTTCTATAGTGGGGGGCCCAAAACTGGACACGCTACTCCAGATGTGGCCTCACCAGAGCCAAATAAAGGGGAATAATCACTTCTCTGGATCTACTGGCAATGCTCCTCCTAATGCACCCTAATATGCCATTAGCCTTCTTGGCTACAAGGGCACACTGTTGACTCATATTCAGCTTCTTATCCACTTTAATTCTCGGGTCCTTTTCTGCAGAACTGCTCCTTAGCCATTTAGTCCCCAGCCTGTAACAATGCCTGGGATTCTTCCGTCTACACTTGTCCTTGTTGAACCTCATCAGATTTCTTTTGGACCAATCCTCTAATCTGTCTAAGTCACTCTGGACCCTATCCTTGCCCTCCAGCCTATCTACCTCTCCCCGCTAGCTTAGTGTCATCCACAAACTTGCTGAGGATGCAATCCATCCCCTCACCCAGGTCATTAATAAAGATGTTGACCAAAACCAGTCCAAGAACAGATCCTTGGGGCACTCCGCTAAACTGACCACCAATCTGACTTTGAGTTGCTGATCACTACCCGTTGGGCCCAACAGTCTAGCCAGCTTTCTATCCATCTTACAGTCCATGTATCCAATCCATATTCCCTTAACTTGCTTGCAAGAATATTGTGGGAGACCGTATTACAAGCTTTGCTAAAATCAAGGTATATCATGTCCACCGACTCTCCCAAATCCACAGAGTCGGTTACCTCATCATAGAAGCTAATCAGATTGGTCAGGCATGACTTGCCCTTGGTGAATCCATGTTGCCTGTTCCTGATCACTTTCCACTCTCCCAAGTGCTTCAAAATGGATTCCTTGAGGATTCCCTTAATGATTTTTCCGGGGACTGAGGTTAGGCTGACTGGTCTGTAGTTCTTTTCCCATATTCCCTTAACTTGCTTGCAAGAATATTGTGGGAGACCGTATTACAAGCTTTGCTAAAATCAAGGTATATCATGTCCACCGACTCTCCCAAATCCACAGAGTCGGTTACCTCATCATAGAAGCTAATCAGATTGGTCAGGCATGACTTGCCCTTGGTGAATCCATGTTGCCTGTTCCTGATCACTTTCCACTCTCCCAAGTGCTTCAAAATGGATTCCTTGAGGATTCCCTTAATGATTTTTCCGGGGACTGAGGTTAGGCTGACTGGTCTGTAGTTCTTTTCCCCTTTTTTTAAAGATGGGCACTACATTTGCCTTTTTCCAGTCATCCGGGTTCTCTCCCCATCTCCATGAGTTTTCAAAGATAATGGCCAAAGGCTCTGCAATGACACTTGCCAACTCCCTCAGTACCCTCAGATGCATTAAATCTGGACCCATGGATTTGTGTATGTTTAGCTTTTCTAAATAGTTCCTAACTTGTTCTTTCCCCACCAAGGGCTGCCCACCTGCTTCCAATACTGCGTTGTCTAGTGCATTTGTCTGCACGCTGACCTTTCCATGAAGACAGAGGCAAAGAAAGCATTGAGTACTTCAGTTTTTCCCACATCATCTGTCACTAGGTTACTTCCCTCATCTAGTAAGGGCCCCACACTTTCTCTGATCACTCTCTTCTTGCTAACATGCCTGTAGAAACCTTTCTTGTTATCCTTTACATCCCTTGCTAGCTGCAATTCCAGTTGTGCTTTCGCCTTTGATAACTCCCCTGCATTCTCAAACAATATATTTATACTCCTTCCTAGTCATCTGTCCAAGTTTCCACTTCTTGTAAGCTTCTTTTTTGTGTTTAAGCTCACCAAGGATGTCCCTGGTAAGCCAATCTGGTAGCCTACCATATTTGTGTTTCTTGCTGCGCATCAGGATGGTTTCTTCCTGTGCCTTTAAATAAGGCTTCTTTTAAAATACTGTCAGCTCTCCTGGACTCCTTTCCCCTTCATGTAAGCATCCCTTGGAATCCTGCCCATCAGTTCTCTGAGGGAGTCAAAGTTTGGCTTCTGAAGTCCAGGGTGTGTATTTTACTACTCTTTTCTTCCTTTGGCCAGGATCCTGAAATCTACCATCTCATGATCACTGCTTACCAGGTTGTCACCCACCTCTACTTCCCCTACTAGTTCCTCCCTTCATTTAAAATGCTAAATGAAGCCATGTGAGTAGATAGATTTCCAGACAGGATGGATGTTAAGGGAGAAGAGGCTTGGGTTTAGGATGTAGGCCTGGGGTGCCTGTAGAGAATAGGAGGGTGGTCCATCAACGGAGATACTGATTGAATGACCAGACTGGTGAAAGGTGACACTATTATAAAAGCCACTGGAGGGCCAAGTTTTGTGGTTGGTATGACTGTGTCAAAAGTAGCAGCAGTGTCAAGGATGGGTGTGTACCATGATTTTCACAGGGGGAATTTTGTCTGGCTGGTTAAGAACACAGTTTCTTATAGATACCCCCCATAGTAGATTTGATCTCAGCTCCTTGACTGATTTATGATCCTGAGACAGATTTGAACTCATGTGAAAGTCAGGTGCTTTGTCTAGTAAAGACAAAAATCTGTGTGGCTTCCCTGAATTCTGTATCCATGAGTCTTTGGTGATCTGTTATTAGCAGTTACTAGCCCAGAGGTGCCATTGTAGACTCCTAGGGAAGCCTCAGAGTTAACACTTATTTTCCTTTCCCTCAACTTCTAAGAAGAAAGTGCTGGAACTTTTACTTTGGAGCTATTGAGCCCTGTGCTCACTAATAAACCCGTGGCCTTTTTCTAGCAGGTCCCTTAGATGGAATCTAGTTTGGTTGCTCCAAGGGAGGAGTCACATTAGCACAAATCAGCTCACATTGTTGAGCAGGCCTCACTGAGAGTACAGCTGCACTATGAACTTTTCTGGAAGAGGAAATGCAATTGGAGCATTCATTTGCATATCTTGTGCTCATTTGCATATTCTTCTCGGATCCTTTTTGCGGGAGAGGTTTTTGCACAAAGGCGCCATCTATACAGTGCTTTTTTTGTGCAAAAACCTCGTCTGCAAAAGATTGGAAGAGATTATGCAAATGAGAGTGCAAGATATGCAAATGAGCACACAATTTGCATTTCCTCTTTCGGAAAAAGTTCATAGTGCAGCCATAGCCTGAGGAAGGTTCTTCCGTTCCTTTCCACATCTGCAGCCTACTGCTCTTGGTGAAGAATTGTTGCTGTTTGGGTGCATGTTCTAGAGTCTGAAGTGTTTAGTGTTGCATTTTTCTTTTCAGCTGTGTTGATTTCAGAGGGGGCTCCAGGAGTCTTATAATTTTGTTGTGTATAGGTTTTGGATGAAGCTACCAGAGATGCTGATCTGCATCATGTGGCCTGCAATATTGTGAAGAAACCAGGAAACATCTACTACCTCTACAGGCGGGAAAATGGCCAGAGATACTTTTCCATCCTTTCCCCTCAGGTACATGGGAATCAGAGTGAGCATGAGGGGGGTGTGGCCAACATGTATCGGGGGCTGGCTCTGGGGTCTCTCAGTGAAGGCTTAAGCTCTTCATAAGCATAGTTTTTGTTGGTGACTTCATTTGTGCTCATAGGTTGGCTTTGGAACTGGACTATGAAATAGCCTTTGAGAGAACCTGAAAAGAGTTTGTGGCACCTTATAGATTATATATGCATCTGATGAAGTGGGTATTTGCCCACGAAGTCTTATGTTCCAATACATCTGTTAGTCTGTAAGGTGCCACAGGACTTCTAGTTTATGCAGATTCAGATTAACACGGCTACCCCTCTGATACCTGAAAGGAGTTAAGCTGTTTAGAATGCAGCTCTCACCCCTGCAAAAAAAAAAAAAAAAAAAAACCCACCGAACCCCAAAACCAGGGTGTCCTGAGAACTGACTGGAAGATTTTGAGAAGTCCCCTCCTGGAGGAATTAACTCTCATGCTTTCAGGTCCAACTCCTCTGAACCCCAAGTCAGTGAATCTCCTTGGGACAACCTTTGCCAGTGGTTAAGCCCACAACTTGATTCACTGACTCCTCATGATTCAGCATTTCATGTGTTCAGAAACTGGGGCACTTAACACTTAGTGTGGGGGAGAGGATGTCTCGGAGAAGCTCCCCTGGTCCAGCCAGCCACAGCTGCCTTTGCTGGGGTCTGAGCTAAAGAAGTTCTGGCGTTTTCATGAAATGTGAGGTTGAGGGTTCTTGTCTCGTAGCAAGAGGGTTACCTATGACATGCTGTGCTATGATACACTATCTCTGCCTTCCTGCCCTGTTCCTGGCAGCAGCTTTCTAAGTAGGCCCCTTTCTGAGTGCTGCTCGTTACACACCTGTTTGGTGATTTCTCAAGTACAGATCACAGCCTGCTGGGGCTTTGCTCATGATGTTGTTATTCTGACAGACTTCCTCAGAGAGAGAGCACAACTCTACCTCAGAAGTGTCCAATATCCATTCACATTCTTTAATAAAAGCAGATTGTAATGGCACAGTCTTTCCTGTAGTAAGTGAGGCCTATGGCAATAAATGCCTCCAGTTAGCTAAGTACTGCCCTGTCATAGAATCCTAGGGCTGGAAGAGACCTCGGGGGTCATTGAGTCCAGCCCCCTGCCCAAAACAGGACCATTCCCAACTGTCACGTCAGTTCTGTCACTGTGCAGAGCTTGTATTGGAAAATATGGTAATGGGTCTTACCAGTTGCCAGCAGCATTGCTTAATCGCTCGTACCTGGGTGATCACAGGCTCCAAGTAGCCTGCTATTTGGTTTAAGTTTTTGAAACCAGCATTTGGGTGTTGCAGCACTCCAAACCAAACTGAGTTTGCTTGACTCCTCTAACTCATATGACTCTGGTTACCTGTCTCTTCCCTCCTACCTCCCAATAGATGTCTAGGCAAAATCCTGTGTCCCATCCTCCCCTCCCCGATATCATATGCATAGTTATTCTATGCTTTACTATTTTAAACATACACCTTCCGTTTGTATTTGCTTGCTATTGTCCACCTCTCAAACGCACTTGTACAGCTTTTTCCTTTGGAGGGTTATTAACCAACCAATAATGCCACAAGAAGGAAACAAACTTTCAAAACTAGACCAGGTCCTCTGTTAGAAAGTGACAGCACTCTGAATACTAAAATCTTGCAGTGCCGATAGAGCTAGTATACAGACCTGTGTGCAATCTGTGTAACAGCTGAATTTCTTGGGAGACCAAATCCTGACTTGAACATGTCTCCTGTTTTCTATAGGAATGGGGGGACAGTTGTCCTCATGAGTTTCTTGGTGCCTATAAGCTTCAGCATGACATGTCCTGGACTTCATCTGAGAACATTGAGAAACGAGATGCTGAAATTAGCATCCTTTATACAGACCTGTGTGCAATCTGTGTAACAGCTGAATTTCTTGGGAGACCAAATCCTGACTTGAACATGTCTCCTGTTTTCTATAGGAATGGGGGGACAGTTGTCCTCATGAGTTTCTTGGTGCCTATAAGCTTCAGCATGACATGTCCTGGACTTCATCTGAGAACATTGAGAAACGAGATGCTGAAATTAGCATCCTTGCAGTGTACGGAGCCCCACCTCCAAGGCCTCACCAAGTAAAGTGGCCTTGCTGGAGCAGCGAAGGCATTCTGAGCAGCTGTGGAAGAGGATGGGTTGTCCTTACCTGACCACTACAAAAGGAGTTCCAAGAGTAAAGACCAAGAAATGAAAATGGACTTCAGCAGCTCAGTTCAGCTGCCCCTCATTCCAGTCTTTCATGTAAAATGCTAACACAAACCATTTCTGCTTTGTCCCACAGCATCTGATAGCCTGTAATTTGGTTAATTATCAGCTCTAGGAACAGACATCTAGACATCCTCTAGCATCTTCTCCCATGATTTACTTGGGCCTGGTCTGCACTACAGAGTTAGGTTGATGCAAGGCAGCTTATGTTGATCTGATTGTCAGGGTCCAGTAAGTGGCCTATTTCACGGACATAGTAACTGCACCTCCAAGGGAGTGTAGGGCTTATGTCTGCATAGTTAGGGGGAGAGAGACTACGTTCGCTGTTGGCTGTCATTCTTGTCAATTCCACAGTTCCCTGCTGGAGCCAGAAATTGACAAGAAAGCTGATCAGAGCTTGGCCTATCACCCTAGGACAGATGTGGGAGGCAGGGGGAAGATTCAGCTAGATCTGGCAGCTCTTTGGGTTCCCTGCTCACGGCTGTGCTCCTGTCTGCTGCCCCTGGTCTCTGCTGTCTGTCATGCTGCCCTCTACTTCCCTCTGCCCTCAGCTCCCCCACCAGGAACTGGGGAAGCTGCCCCTTTTCTGGTAGGTAGTTGCACAGAGTTGGAAGACTGGGCTCTCAGTACCCCACACTGCCCCTCTAAGCCAATGAAAGAGCTCTTGGTGGGGATGCACACCACCAACAGAATTAGGCTAGCATGGACTAGGGATGTAAGTGACTAGTCGACAAACATTAGCTTATCGGATACTTGACAGTGACTCAACTAGTCGCTTTATGGCTCCGCAGTTTCCCCCAACTAATTGACAAATTCCATTGACTAATTGATTTAAATGCAATTTAACATCTAGTGTGGACACAAACCGTTGCATAATTGGTGCAGTGGTCATAAGTTGACCTAACGAAGGATTAGATCTCTACATGTGAGACTTTGATAATGTGGTATCCCAATCTTCTGTTATTTCTCTGTAACAGCTTTTGTAATTATACCACTTTGCCCAAAAGTCTTAGGGCTTATTTCCCTCACCCATTAACAGCCATGCAGAAAAGGCCAAGTGTGACTCTAGTTTTCTTGAAATTTGTAGTTTCACTTGTGCCAGATGGTATTGAGGTCCGTAATATCCAGCACAGTGAATGTAAGCACTTTATTCTTGGAGAGGTCCCACTTCCTCGCTGCTGAGCAGATTCCATCTGGCCTCATCATACATGAGCCAGACTCAGGAAGGAGTAGGCTACCAGAGAAGGTTCAAGAAACTAGGCTCTACTGGGCACCTTTTGTCGATGCCTTCAGGGGGATGAAGCCTGGGCAAGTTGAGGAGGTGCCATTCTGACCAGGAAAAGAGAAAAAAAATTAAATAAAAACTAAGGTTAAAATGATCAAATACTTGGGTTAATGAGGATAGCTGTTGCCTGCATAAAATGCTTCGATTATCCAAAAGTACCAAGTTTGGTTTCATGTCAGAAAATGCATTTAGTATGTAATCTAGAACTCTGCAAAAATACTTAGAATGACCTTCCCATGGATCTGCATGGGGCTCTCTCAGCATCTAATGACTGGATGCAGGGCTCCTAGATGCTCAGATAATGAGTGTTATCAGGGTTTCCTTCTGTAAGAGAAAAATAAAATTTGCTCCATCACAAAACTATTCTGGCAGGCACTGGGAGTCAAAGCACTGGTTTAAATCACAGTGCTTATAGGATTTCTGGCAGGAGCAGTAGGTAACAGTGAAGATATTTTTCTCTTATTTCACTTCTATAGAAATTGAGAAGTGAAGTAAAATATTAGGACTTAACTGCAAATTGTTTATTTCCTCCAAGGCTATGTCTACACTGCAGGCTTCTTGCGCAAGAACTGTTTTACAGAAGAGTTTGTGTGCAAAAGGTCTTCCACAAGAGCACATCCACACTGCCATGAGCTTTTGCGCAAGACAAGTGCTTTGTGCAAGTGTGTCCATGGCAGTGTGGACGCTCTCTTGCGCAAGAAAGCTCTGATGGCCATTTTAGTGATAGGGGTTTCTTGCACAAGAAATTCATGTTGCCTGTCTACACTGCCTTCTTGTGGAAGATCTCTTGTGCAAGAGGGCTTATTCCTCAAGAGGAGAGGAATAACTCTTCCGGAAGAAGCCCTGTTTTCCAACGCTGTACTGTAAATGTACTTGCGCAAGATCACGTGTGCACTGTAGATGCTCTGCAAGTTTTTGCACAAGAACAGTGGTTCTTGTGCAAAAAGCCTGCAGTGTAGACATAGCCCATCTGTCTTACAGGTGATGCGATATTGTTTACAGAGAGAAGGTACACATGGGATTCACTACACAGACTGGAACAATAGGTCTGTGCTCTGGCTACTTGCCAATCTTTTTAAAAAATCACTTCTATCCAAAGGTTCAATCATTGTTAAAAGAGTCTTAATGATTTACGTCAGCCAGTTGCATGCTAGTATTGATCTCTGCTCACTGCACAGGAGACTGGCGCATTTCCTGCCCAATTGGAGAGTCAGGAGCTGGCTGCCTCTGGCCATGCCTTACAGCACCTAGGCTACGACTACACTGCTGGCTTCTTGCACAAAAGTGTGTCCATACTGCCATGTGCTCTTGTGAAAGAGATGTGCTTTTGTGCAAGTGTATCCATGGCAGTGTGGATGCTCTCTTGCGCAAGGAAGCTCTGATGGCCATTTTAGCCTGTTCCTGTCCACACTAGCCTTTTTGCACAAGAGCTCTAGAACAAAAAGGCGTATTCCTCATGGGGAGAGAAATAATTCTTGTGCAAAAAGCCCGCTCTTCTGATGATCTACTGTAACCTTTCATGCACAAGAATGGGCTTGTAGTGTGGATGCTCCGCAAGTTTTTGCACAAGAACAGCTGTTCTTGTGCAAGAAGCCTACAGTTAAGACATTGTCCTATTGTTCATGTGAAGTATGGCTCCTGCCCTGGAGAAATATTTAACAGTGGGGAGCCCCCTCGAACCTGGGCTATGATTAGAGTCTCATGCACGGACTCTGCAGAAAGCAAAGGAACGGTTTTGGGTTTCCCTCCCAGCCTGTGCCCAGGCTCCAGTTGGTGACTCCTCCCTGTTTCCATGTGGTGGCAGCACAGAGCATTTCTTGCTGGGAGGAGTTAGCTCCTTCACAGGCAACTTTGAGTGGCTTTTAAAAGGAATGTGACTTGTGGTCTCAGATACTAGTGGCCTCTTTAAAGCATAGGTTTTAACCTAGAAAGCCTTAAATGTATCCTGTCTTGAACACTTGCAAGGCTGGCCTGCCTCCCTGTGCTATGGCCGGTAGCGCAGACAATCCAAGCTTAATTCTCCCCGCCAGGGGCTGCCGAAACAATGCTTATAGTGAGGGGCCTGAAAGCCATTGACCCAACTGTAAGTCCTGTATATAAATAAGGGGAACTTAATTCAGTGGGTGCAGCAGCATCTGTAGCTCCTGCACCTATGTCCCCAGCCTATTCAAAGGGAAGGGAGGTGGAGGGATGTTCAGAGAGGCCACGGAAAAGGTGGAATCTGCTTCAGTTTCCTGAAGTTTTGAATCTTTTGCTCCTCAGAGCATGTGGCCAGGTCCGTTTGCTCTTGTGGTGGCTTACAGCTGAGCTGCTAAGAGAACTCCCATCCCCTTCCTTTGGGAGCTGGGGTTTGGGTGAGAAGTTTGTTGGGGGACCCTTGTCCTCCACTGCATGTGAACTGAATGTGTGTCCCTAGAGCACTTAACTGGGCACTGCAGGAAGTGAAATAAATCAGTTGTGTTAAATAACTAACCATGTAAGCACCTTATTCTTGGAGTGGTGGCTCTTCCTGTCAGCTGAGCAGGTTTCCCCTCTCGTGATTAGGGATCTGAGAAATCCATTTGCTGTGGGGAAAAATTGGCAAAATGTGGAATTTGCATTTTTACAGAGAATCTTTAGCTTTTACATTTTGTGAGAAGAAAAAAAAACTACACTGTAGAACCTCGATTTGCTGATCTAATTGGGACTGCAGCCAGATCAAATAATCACAAATTGGGATAAAAGGGAGAGTTGGTAGGGCTTGGACTGTCTGCTTATATTTATTATTTTTATCTATAAAACACTGTTTGACAGATAACGGTATATAATGTGGCTTGGGAAATTGCAGGAAAAACAGTTTCGCTCAAGTGCGTTTTGTCCATGAAAGCTCATGATACTGTATATTCTTGTTAATCTCTAAATGCCATGGGACTACTCCTGATAAAAAACAGAGGTTCTTATTTTTTTAATTGGAGAATTTGGGGGGGTTTATTATGGAAACGTAGAATCACTGCTTATGGTACATGAGCCAGACCCCATGGAGGGCAGCTTGTTCCTGCTTAAAGCTCAAGAAATTAGGGAACTTTTCATCTGGTGCCTCTTTCAGGGGAGTGAGGCCTTGGGGGAGTCCAACTGGTGCTGTTGTTGGGTTTGTTTTTTGATTAGAAAAAAATTTTTTACTCTAGAATTCTGCCAAAACCCTTCAGTGCCATTTACCATATACTTCCCTGGGTTTGCAAAGTGTCTAGTGACTTAATTGCAGGGTCTTCTGGATTTGTTTAATTCAGTCTACATCCACCTAGAACTGAGTTTTGAATGTGCTTCTAAGCAGGACGTTCATGTGTGGCCTTTCTTTGCTCCAGGAGGTGAAATAAAGTGGTAAACGTTACTGTTTAGTGCCATTAAAACTTAATTCTGGGTTTGACAGAGCCTCATGCTTCCCTCCTAGCTAATTCAGTCTCCATGCTTGACTAAGGAGGCTAATACCAGTGCTGTGTGCTTATATAACTAAGAGCATTGTGCACACAAGTGTGTTGGTACCCTAACCAGATCGGTGCTGTGCCCTGCTGCCTAAGCCATTCTGTTGCCAGATAAGAACGTACTGGAGCT